TTCTCTTTTCTTGCCTTTTTTAATTTCATTGAGTTGATCTTCGATCTCTGATATCCTTTCTTCTGCTTGGTTGATTTGGCTATTGAAACTTGTGTATGCTTCACCAAGTTCTTGCATTGTGTTTTTCAGCTCCATCAAGCCATTTATATTCTTCTCTAGGCTGGTTATTCTAGTTAGCATTTCATCTAATCTTTTCTCAAGGTTCTTAGTTTCTTTGCATTGAGTTAAAACATGTCATTTTAGCTCAGACAAGTTTGTTATTACCCATCTTCTGAAGTCTGCTTCTGTCAGGTCATCAAAATCTTTTTCTGACCTGTTTTGTTGCCATGCTGGTGAGTTGTTGTGATCTCTCTGGAGAGGAGCAGCATTCTGATTTTTGATGTTTTCGTCCTTTTTATGCTGGTTTCTTCCCATCTTCTCTGAGTGGACATCCTTTCTGTTAAAGTTGGGGTTATTTCTCCTGTATGAGGCTGTTTTTTTTAACACAGGTGTCAGTGTGCCACTTGAGATAGTCTGTCCATTGCCTGCCTGTGGAGGTGCTGCTGGGCTGCCTTGGTTTCAGCCAGGCTGCTGTTTATTCTTCACCTGGTTTCTGTACTGCTGGGGTTAGGCCCGCCTTCCCAACGGCGGGCTCTTTCCCTCTGCTGAGCCCTCTGTTGCCAGGTGGAGGATGTGTTAACTGCGAAACTCTCCTAGGAGAGGAACTCTAGTTGCTGGATCTTGTGGGAAAGGGGCCTGGCTGGTTGTATCCCCCTTCCCGCTTTCAACTCTCCCTTCTGTGAGACAGGCAGTTCCTTTTCGCAAGCTTTCTCAGTATTAGTCCAAATCTCTGCCCTGGTCTGCGCTAACAAGGTACCGGACTGGCCGGGGCTGCCGGCCTGGGGTGTCACTCCGAGTGGTTCTCATCAAGTTGGTGTTTTCCTGGTCTGTGTGCTGCCGAAGTCTCAGAGTGAATTGCTGTATCTGATTCAGAGAACCAAGGAGATGATGCCCCCTGATCCTCCATGCCTGATACACTTTCCAGGAGGGGCAGTGCCCCACCTTGCCTTGGCTCAAGGCCTTTGGCTGCTTTCGCTGCCTTTTTTGGGGGTTAATCCCTCTGTTCAACCAGCACCTTTAAAACAAAACTGGTACCTCACTTGGAGAAGCAGATCTCGCTCTGGTTCTATCTCACTCGGTGGTAGTTACACTCTGGAGAAGTTTCCTTTTGGCCATCTTCCAGCTGTTTTCTATAGACGCTTTTCATTACCAAATAAAAGTATACTGGATAAATACATTTTCAAGATACATTCTGAAATGTTGATCTGAATTTTTGTTTTTTCTTACTTTCTGAAAAGATATACTTTACATGTACATGGTTTTACAGCTTACAGACCAATTTATAAATATTAAATTTTGTCAAAGTACAATAAAGATGTAAATGCTACACTAATAATTTGCCTACAGATAAATGCCTATACCATGCCATCTTTCAGCTTTTTAGCTCTATAATGCCATATTTACCTTGTTGCTATGCTCAGCATTTTAAAGTCAATTAAAGAGGTCTAAGTAGGCCAGGCACAGTGCTCATGCCTATAATTCCAGCAATGTGAGAGGCCGAGGCAGGTGGATTACCTGAGATCAGGAGTTTGAGACCAGCCTGGCCAACATGGCAAAACTCTGTCTCTACTAAAAATACAAATATTAGCCAGGCATGGTGGCAGGCACTTGTAATCCCAGCTACTCCAGAGGCTGAAGCAGGAGAATCACTTTAGCCTAGGAGGTAGAGGTTACAGTGAGCCGAAATGGTGCCACTGCACTCCAGCCTGCATGACAAGAACAAAACTGTCTAAAAGAAAAAGGGGTTGCGGGGAGAGCTCTAGCCCTGGAGTAAAAGACACCACCACACAATTTTTTTTTAAAGTCCAGCTACAATTCTGCATTTATCTGATTTCATATCATCTAAATTCCATGTAATCTCTTTTTATTTTCATTGAAAAAATTTCAAACATATACCTAAGTATGGAGAAAATTATAACAAACCCTCATGTAACTTCATACTTCACATCAATAATTATCAATTTATGGTCAGTTGTGTCTCATCTACACCCATATCCACTTCCTCTATTTCCATCTCTCTGCCCTGGACTTATTTTGAAAGTAAATCTCAGACATCATGCAACTTCTTTGATAAATATTTCAGTACGTATGTTGAAACAAGGATTCTTTCTAAACACAAACACAATAATATCATTATACTTAAAAATAAATATTTCCTTAATATACAGTGTTCACATTTCCCCAACCCTTAAATACTTATTTTCCTGACTGCTACAAAGACACAAAATGCCATGTAATCAAATAGCACTGCAGTATCCCCTTTTGCCACTAGATGGTACTACTGCATAAATTTTAGACTTTAATCTGGTTAGAGGAGACTAACCTTTTTGCTTTTTTTTTTTTTTTAAAAAGACAAGGTCTGGCTCTGTCACCCAGGTTGGAGTACAATCCTCTCACCTCAGCCTTCCTAGTAACTGGGACCATAGGTGTACACCACACCTGGCTAATTTTGGTATTTTTTGTAGAGACAGTCTTGCCGTGATGCCCAGGCTGGACTCAAATTCCTGAGCTCAAGCAATCCTCCTGCCTTGGCCTCCCAAAGTGCTAGGATTATAGGTGTGAGCTCCTGCGCCCAGCCTCCTTTTGCCTTTTTTGGGGCTAAAAGGACTAATGATCAGGAAACGTGATTCGAGTTTATATAAGGTATTACAAAGTCTAGCAAGTGATTTTGGGGGAAATAATCATTGTGTTGGATTATAATCCACAGCAGGAAGTGCCAATGGTTTCAAAAGTGTCTACACAAAACTATTTTAACACAAACAGGTCATGGTTTATGCTCTTTCACAGCATAAAACCTTAAAAAGCAGATATAATTTTATTATAGGGCTGTAACTGTTATGGTACCACATGTCCAATTCCAAGAAAATACATTATTGGATTCGCAAGATGTCTGTTGATGTACATGCTGAGTAAAATAAATTTATAATTGGTTTCAGGTATATCTGAAGTGTCACTATTCCTGATGTATATAGGGTGATCATCCTAAATCTGAAAATTTGAACTCTGAAATACTCCAAAATCTTGAGCTTTCTGAACACTAACATGACACTCAAAGGAAATGCTCAATGGAGCATTTCAGATTTTGGATTTTCAAATTAGGGATGCTCAAGAAGTATAATGCAAATATTTAAAAATCTGAAAACATAAAATGCAAAACACATCTGATCTGATGCAATTTTGGATAAGGTATACTCAACTTGTATTATTACTTTGAGAGACATTCCACTTCGGTGTGGAGATGGATCTAAGGGCAAATCACACTGTCTCTCAAATATGAATTTTGAATTTGCTAAAGGAGTTAAACAGAAACTTTAAAAAAGAGATCTCAGAGTTCTACATTACAAAACAGACATGTACTATCTAAATAGACCTGCCAGGAAGAATTCTCTGCAAAATATACCATACCAAAGTAGATGAAATAATATTTTAATTTTGTATTTTGAAACTTTTAAAAACACATACCATGTATAACAATTTGAGATGTAATGTGTTGATCAGTGTTAAAATACCAAACTTTTCTTTTTTAACCTGTTAGGTAACTAATGCAGGTCTTTTTAGGTCACCCATAGTTTGTGGCAAGAACAAAATGTTTATTTATAGTCTACTTTATTTCCCAAGGGTTTGCAGTAGATATCTTGGATGTCTGTCATTGCAGGGGGCGGTTTTACCATAGAAGAGGGTAATTAGAGTAGAAAAGATTGACAGAGAGATGGAAAGAGAATAGGACACGTGAGCAAAAGGTTGAACTGTGATGATACTGAATACAAAGGGTAAAAGAGAAGAAGAAACAGTTACCTCAGTGACACACAAAAGCCTGGAGAATAAGGGAGATCTTAAAATGCATAGGAAAAAGACTAGGATAGAATAGGAAATTAGTAAGGAACAATAGTAGTGAGCAGACAGGAAGAACTGGGCCAGGAACTCAAATGTTAAAACAGCCAAGAGGCAGAAACAATACAAAGCAGGAATTTTTTTTTTTTTTAATAAAGGAAGTTTTATTTATTTATTTATTTACTTATTTTTGAGAATGGGGTTTTGCTATATTGCCCAGGCAGGTCTCAAACTCCCGGGCTCAAGCTATCCACCCACCGCTGCCTCACTAAGAGCTGGGATTACAGGCGTGAGCCACCAAACCCCTTGGAAGTAACATTTTTGTTGATGACGTTCAATTCCATGAAGTTATTCAATTCAGTCAGAAGAGAAACAGCTTAAGATACTGGGAATTAAAATGGCTAAAGTTTTAACCTCAATTATTTTGAAACTAGAACATTTTCCCCGCTACATACTATTTTATAACTTTTCTTGGAGATTATCAGAACTTTTCAGTACTATTTGGCCAATTTTTAGGGCATGAAACTCATCTAGATTATCGTGATGCCTGTACTTGCAAAATAAGGCAACTTAAGTCCTGAAGAATAACCAGAGGTCATATAGCTCAGTTTGTGGCAAGGCCAGGGATAGAACCAGGTACTGACTTTCAGTTCAAGGCTCTTCCCAGTGGGGCATCCTGATTTTCTTGATCATCTGTTATCGCAGCACTTAAGGGGTGACAAGATCTGAGTGAGTTGGGAGGAAGGCTATACTTAATATTCAAGATATATTCTAAAATCATGAGGCTAGTTTCTTTGAACTACACAGAAAACCTTGCCTCAGTATAGTGATGCTATATTTGATCTCTTCTCTTTAATCTTAAAAAGAACTAAGAACTAACTAGCCATTGGAGTTTTATATTTATTTTACATGATTCACTGGATAAATTCAATATATCTTATAAAAATATAAATGCCAACTTCTACCAGAAAGATTTTACAGATTATTACTTAATTTATACCCCAAGTTTACAAGAGGGAATACTGAATAAAAATGGATAAACTACAATTTAAAAGTCACAGTCTTGATACCTTCATATTAGATGCCTCAGTTTCCAGTTTTGTAAGATGATTGGAATTATCTTCTAGCTCTTGTCGAAGATTTGAGTTCTCCATCTTCAGTGCCTCAACTTGCTTTAACAACTGATCATATGAAGCTGCAGCCATCCTTGGCTACCCTTGGACCTATAAGGTTAAAAAGGATTTTGAAATTCACTACTAAAAAAATTTAGTGGCTGCTTGTTTTTAAAGAAGGGGTAAAGGAAAACAAAATTCTTAAGACGTTTAAGAAGAAGAATTGTGTTAAATCTGCCAGTTTTTGGTTTCAAACAATATTGTTCGAGTAGCAGCAACTTTCTAAGAGGATGAAACAGTGGAATCTTAGTTCAAGACAAATGAAATTAAAATGGAAGGCAGAACTTCAGTTGCGTCTGAATACATTTGTCTTCTCACAGATGGATAAAATTTTTATCAAGTAATAATCTCTTCAAGATTTTAAAGATATTTTACCCATTCTTACAGGCAAAACTTAGGAAATGTAATTATTGTATAAAAATTTATTTATATTAATAATACTATTTTATTTCTGAATTTTGTCTGATAGTCACAGAATTTTAGAGTCAAATGGATGAGATTACATATTTCATTTCACACTTTTCAGTTGATAAAAGGCTAATCTTACACATCCTCCATGGTGAAATAGTTCTGAAGTTCTAAGATCTCATTAAAAGGCAATCATTTAACAAAATGGACATGAAGGAGAGCATTAAATGAAGACTTTAAGCCTTTTAAATAGAAAGATAATAAATAAGAATTACTAACATAAAGTTCTATTACATTTATTCAAAATGTTGACTATAATGGCTTCATGCTATGCCATATGTGGTCTTGGGATCTGCTGTCTGCAAACTGAGGCAAAAAGACACCTAAAGAGAATGGACGACCTTAGAAGTAAAGACTGTCAAAGAGAAATGAAGCAGAGTCTGGCAGCTCATTATGACTGGGAAGGAAGAGGGGAGACAAAAGAAGATACAAAAGACAGCCAGGTAATAAGAGGACCTTAGAATGCTACGAGTTATATTAAGATTAACCAAATAAGATTTAGGAGATCCACATTCTCTTTTTAGTTTAGGTCAAATCATTGTAGAATAAAATCCTGCCTATCTTAATTATTTAACAGCTAATAAGTATTAGGTAATTTGCATATAAGCAGTACTTAAAGATCTTAACATTGAAAAAAATGTTTCTATAATATGAAATCCACTACAAAGAATAGGGCAGACAGGTTGTAACACTGGCTAGTCATGACAAAACTGGAGTTCAGCAATTGGAAGACTCTACCAAAGGAAATCGAAAGACTTAGATCTAGTTAGTTCTACCACAGCTAGAATCAACAATAAACCTGGTACAATCCAATGACATCTGAGGAGGAAGGGGAGTCCTGCAGGTGGGGATCACCTACAAAAGTATTTATGGTTGAAAAAAATTGAGTCTTGTGTGCTAATTTCAGACCTGGTCATGATTTAATCTATGCCCCTTAATTTTAATTCATTTCACAATTTGTAAATGAACGTTTACAATCTACTTTAACATATAGGGATATTGTTAGGATTAATAACAAAAGACAGGCTGAAAAATAAAAGTACTATGTAAATGTAAGTTATGAATATAATATATATGTAATATAACTTCTTCACTAAGACATAATATTGCCTTATAGTTAAAATTTCTCCTCTGACCAACGGACAAAAGGTGAAGAAGTGATGCAACCAAAGGAGACATTTCAAAAATAAAGAAAAAATCTATAGGAGTGACCATTATTTTGTTTCACATCATATCATTAATAAGCATGTCTGAAAATCTCCAGCACATTATAAACCACATGAAAGAGGTAGGCATCAGACAGAATTTGAATAATGTGAGCTTTAAAATTTCTCATTTCAAATAAAATTAACAGGTAATTACATCAAAATAATAACATAAGAGAAAAGGTAGTAACAGAGAAAAAAACGCACACACACAAGTATATTGAGACACAGAAGTTATAACCTTACGCAATCACAAAAAGAGCCAGATGGGCAAGATGAACAGAGACTGCTAAAAGTACTCTTTATTAAAGGAATAAAAAAAATCAACTCTTCAGATGAATGATTAAACCTCTAATCATTTTTTTCCCCCTAACTCCAGAATTCCAACCATTAAAGTTCTTTGTGCTCCATAAAGAATCTAATTTTATGGGGGGAGAAAAGATGTTTCATGGAAGAAAACCCAATTTTATACTTTAAACTGTTGGGATGTTGCAGCCATCCTTCTTTAATCCAAAACTTCTTTATACAAAATTTGTGAAGTCATAAATTTACTTTGGAATGTCTTTTTTGTAATTACAAAAATTGAATACCAAATATATCTTTAAAACGTTTTTAAAAATTTTAAACTTGTGTGATCACATTACAGCTGTCATACACAATAAAATGGGGGAAACCTCCCAATCTTTCACTTTACTGAGAACATGCAAACATCTCAATTTGTTTTTCTGCAGCTAAGATGACCATTAAAGAGACTGCTTCACCTTGTAAGTGTTGGGTAGGGGAGAAGAAAGCACAGGACTGTTATCTAGAGTTTTATTCAAATGTTCACTGGAAAAAAAATTTACAAGTATTGTAAGAAATTAAAGCAAAGAAGCAAAAAATTTCAGGCTGGCAAAAAATAATCAGAATTAAATGTGGAGGATTATTAAATTTTCAGAAATTCAAGATCACCTTTTTTTTTTTTAATGTTAGTGGAGCTGCTTTTATTGTTTTGTTTTCAAGGAAAAACGAAGATATATTTTCCAGCATTTTTACATGTAATGAAGAGAAAAATATAAATAAGGCAGGAAAGCAAAAGAATCATAAAAGACAATCTGCTCAACTCTATGCAAAGAAATTTGAAAACCCAAAATAGACAATTTACTGAAGATATAATCTAGCAAAACTGATCCCAAAAGAGAAGGAAAATCTAATATAACTTACAATGAAAAAGTCACTATTAGAAAATCAATTATAACATTTAACATAATAGATCTTCATGGGAAAAAAATCATATATTCATGCCAAAGATGATGAAAAGACATTTTACAAATTCAATACCCATTCCTGTTGAAAATACTTAATAAAAAACAACACCTCTTTAATATGATCTATCAGCCCCAAAGTCAACAGCATACTTAATGTGGAAACACTGGATGTAGTCCTATAATCAGGGTATCACTCAATTAGTAATAATATTAGCCAACACTAATTAATAAATAAAATTAGAAAAGGAACATTATTTACACGTAACATAATTATATACCTGGAATATACAAAAGCATCGACAAAGTATTATTATAATAACATAATTTGGTAAGATAGTATAGTACAAAATATACAGAAATCATTCCTTTATAGGGGAGAGAAACCAGACGGAAGATAAATGAAAGAAAAGGTTCAATTTACAATAAAAAAATTAAAATATCTGGGCATAAACTGCCCAAAGAGTCCAAACATATATGGCAAAAACTATGAGATACTTCTGAAAGATAGAAAAGAAGACTTCAACAAATGGAAAGACATCTTATTCTGGTATACCAAGATTCAGCATCATAAAGATGCCATTTCTCCCTAAGTTAAATTATAAATTTTACAGTCTCAATGAAAATACCATATGAAGTTTTTGTTTATTTTCTACAGTTATAAATTTAAAAAATAGAAAACATGAAAGAAGAGCAGGGAGTAAACCGACTACATATTAAAGTATTGTACAAAGCCTTTACAACTAAAACTGTATGTATGTAGTTAACTAATTGTTCCAATAGATTAGATTTTTAGTTTTGATAATCATAGTAGGGATATATAAGCTGTTATTATTCGGGGAATCTGTAAAGAGTATATAGAAACTCTGTGTACTATTTTTCCAAGTCTTCCATAAGTCCAAAGTTACTTAAAACTTAAAAGTTTTGTTTTAAGTTACAATACCAGTATATAAATAAATCAACCACAAGAATACAATGTTTAAAATCCAGAAGTAAATATATTTAAATTCAGTATATGATAAAAGTAGCATCTCAATACTTGTAAAAAAAATGGAATTTAAATTGGTGCTGGGAAATAGGACAGCCATGAGGAAAAAGAAAAAACTGCATCTATTCCTCATACAACACACTAGCATAACCTGCAAAAAGGAACAGAGATTTCAATGTTTGATAAACATTTCATTGCTAATGAAAGCAGACTTCTTTTTTTTAAGTAAAGATATTTAAACAGCATATATCCTCTTCACAAAGGATGGTTTGAAACATTTTTATTTTAATTTGTTTAATGGGTGTAAGACACATAGAAGTCCAAGTAGAGTTCTCTGAAGTAATTATGTCCATTACTAGGCCAGGAGTAATAAAGGAGATTCTTAGGGTACTTCAAACAAATGGGAAAGTTTCTATTTGTTATAAAAGCACAACTACAGTAAATACTGGAAATCTGTATAGTGAAATATTACACTGATATTACAAAGGATGAGGCTGAGATAAGAATGAGGTTGATGTTAAAACAAAAACAAAAACAAAAACAAACAGGCAAAAGCCAAAAGAGAGAGAGAGAGAGAGAGAGAGAGAGAGAGAGAGAGAGAGGAAAGAAAATGCTGACAAAGAGAATATCTTAATGTGGTCCCTCCTGTTCCAGTAAAAACAAAGGCTTGCATAAGAATACAAAATAACACTTAAAGAACATAAATACCATCATTGCTTGTAGAATCAAGGTATGATGTCTGGTGGTAAGCCTTCCTTTTTATTACACACCCTTTGAAGAGTCTGAAAAGCAAAGCATTGGCCGGGTGGCGGTGGCTTACACCTGTAATCCCAGCACTTTGGGAGGCAGAGGTGGACAGATTACTTGAGGTCAGGAGTTCAAGATCAGTCTGGCCAACACTGGTGAAACCACCTCTCTACTTAAAACACAAAAATTAGCCAGGCGTGGTGGCATATGCCTGTAATCCCAGCTACTCGGGAGGCTGAGGTGGGAGAATACCTTGAACCTGGGAGGTAGAGGGTGCAGTGAGCCAAGTTTGCACCACTGCACTACAGCCTGGGCGACAGAGCAAGACTCTGTCTCAAAAAAAAAAAAAAAAAAAAAGGTAAAACAAAAGCATCCAAAATGAGCCTAAATTAAAAAGAA